CTCAGGGGGGGACCGGCTCAGGGGGGCGAAACGTAAACTTATGCATCGCATATAGATCGGTGATAGAGAGTCCGCGCGTTTATTAAAGACGTGAGTAATCGGCGCCTTTCGGCGATGAGCTGGCGATTGGGTGTCGAAGCCTCCCTTTGAACAGATTTGTGTTGTTTTGTTATTTTTTCCCAGCGGCCTGGTGCAAGCTATCTTGTCCAAGGTAGTCTGGTGCAAACTATCGTGTCCCTGGCGGTCTGGTGCAAGATATGCAATATATCCCCCGTAGTGTCAGCATGCAAGAGAGACGGCGAGACTGCATCGGCCACGCGGCCGGGACAGGCAAGCGCTACCCATGACAACCATTGCCCGGGCATGTGTCCAAAACTGGCGCGACAAGGTTGAACGTCGAATGGCATCACATTCTGATATGCGCACACAAATGCCCAGGAGGAGGAGGAGGAGGAGGAGGAGGAGGGAGAGGAGGGAGCGCAGAGGAGGGGAGGAGGCAAGAGGAAGCAGAGATCAACGTGGTTGTCAAAACTGGCTGCATTGCGCAACACCTAGTGGACATACACCGGCACAAAAGTGAAACAGCGCAGGAGGAAGGAGGCGGAGAAGGAGCCAGGGGCCAGGGGAGACAAGAAGGGGGGTGACAAGATGGGCGGAGAAGCGGTGTGTTCAAGGCAGCACTTACTGACACTAAAAGACAAGCTGTGCTCAGCGCGAAGATTTACACGATCATGCAAGATCGCCCGATGAGCATGCAACTTGAGCATGCGGCCGGCAAAAAACGGCGGGGCCAGGAGCGTCGACGAAACTGCAATCCGCGTGCGGAAGACCAGCCGCGAGAATTCCAAGGAGAACGGAGCGGCGAGGGGAGGAGGAACGCTCCAGCCGAGGGTCGTTTTCAACTGCGCACGCCAGAGCGTGAGGCACGCCTCTGGGTGCCAGCAACTCACATGCACCATTTCCAGCGGGGAATTGTAAGCCAGAAGCTGCTGCCTAGGATACCCCCCCCCGCACGGGGGGGGCGCAAACCCGAGGCAGACAAGGGGCCGCCACCCCCCCAACACGACAGCGACGACGAGGACGAGAACGAGGACGACGGGGGAGGACGAGAGGAGGCAGGAAGAGGAGGGGAGAGAGGGAGGGACAGGACGAAAAAGGAAGGGAGGGAAAGGGGAGAGAAGGAAGGAACGGCGCCCCGCCCCCGGGCGTGGGGCCGCCAGGGGGGGGGCAACCCTGGTCGGACAAATCGTGCCCCCCCCTCGCAGGGAACGACGGCGTGCACCACTGGACGATGTGAAGCGCCGCGCACACCTTACCTGCCGCGCGCGTGGGTTCTAGTTTGAGGCGCCGACCAGGGGCCGGATGAAGGCCCACAGAGAAACAAAAACCATAATTACCGCGAGGGACGGGCCGACAAGTGGCACCGGGGGGCCGAAGGACGAAGAGGGGGAGGAGGGGAGGGCAAAGACGGGCACCAACGCTTGCGGCCTCTGTCCGCCGTCTTCGCGGCGCGCGGCAAGCGTCGCAGGGCCGCGATCCTCCTGGTACCCAGAAAACAAGAGGGAGGGAGCGATGAGGCGGAGGACGAGGAAAGACAAGGAGGGGAGGCAACCAGCTCGGCATTGAGAACACAACCTCGAACCTGGTGCTCGAGTGGGAGCGGCCGCGGCGGCACCAGACAACGACGGCGACCGTCTTGCCAACGGCATCTCAGCTGCGTCACGTAGTAAGCCCACTCCAGCTGTCACCACGTTGGCACCAGGCCTCCGCCGCCGCGAACCAGTGCCCTGCGACAGTGGAAACCGCTACCAACAAAAAGTGCGGGAGGGGCCCATCAAGGGCCCCCCGGGCGGGCCAGCGTGGCCGAGAAAAGCGACCAACCGCGCGCGTGGGAGAACGGAAAGGAGGAGAGGAAAACCACGGCAAAAGAGCGGAAAAGGAGACGCAAGAACCGAAGCAAAACAACAGCCAAGGAGATGACCGCCTGGATCTAAACGTGCCTATAGATACTGGCCAGCAGCTTAGCCTTAAGAGCACAAGCTCGAGCCTGGTGCTCGAAGTGGGAGAGGCAGCGGCGGCGTCGGACGACGATGGCGACCTCCTTGCCGATGGCGCGCCAGCTGCGTCGCGCAGCGGGCTCATTCCAGCGCGCGCAGCGCCAGCAGCGGACCTCCGCCACTACTCCGTTTCATCGAGTAGACGCCGTGGATGACGACCACGGCGGCAGTCCAGCGCTCGCCTGGCGCCCGCGCCCTCGCGCGCGCCGCCGGCGGGCGCCCGGGCCGCTCGAGCGAACGCTGTTCGAACCCGTGCGCGGGGGAGCGAGAGTGGCACTTGGCGCCGGCCGCCCCAGAACTGGCCCTCGGGGGAGCGGGCTGCCCATGCCTTCCCCCTGGGCCTCCTCTCCAGCCGGTGGCGCGGGGAGCCGCGCCCGGGCCCTGGCGCTGGGGCCCCCGGGGTCCAATGCGCTCGGCTGCCCGCAGGCGCCCCGCGCCGCGCCCGCTGCAATCGCGCCTCGCATGCGCAGGCGACGCGCCTAACTCGCCGCGCTGCCAGCCCGCGCCCGCGCGCGGCGCAGCAAGCGCCGCGCGCGACCTGCAGGCCGATCTGCAGATGCGCCCTGCAGGCGCGCGTGGCGCGGTGGGCCGCCGGCGGCGAACCCTGCGCCGTCACTGGCTGGGAGGGGCCGCGCCACGCGCAGTTTGATGGCAGCCCCTCGGCGCGCGCTGCATTCAGCATTGCGCCGCGCGCCCAGCAGGCGCGGCCAGCGGCGGCCCTGCGCGATCGGTGATCCGGCGGCGGCGGCCCTCCGCCCACCGCGCCTCGGCCCAGCGCGCCAGGTCGGGGGCTGGCGGCGCCTGGCATGTCTGGCGGCGCTGAACCCGATCTGAGCTCGCCTGGCCCATCCACGGCCGGAGGCTCCTCGGTCGCTGGGGGCTTCATCGTGAACTCTATTGCTACCTCTTCGCCACTTGAACTGGGTGCCCCGCATCGGCGAAGATCTTCCGTGAGCACCTGGTTCGCGTGGCCTTCGGCGGCTGCTCCTTGGTCAGGCCATCGGCCAGCCTTCTCCGACCCCGGCGCCGGCCCGTGCAGCGCCTGGCGCCGCGCGCTGCTGGGGTCGGCGCGGGCGCCGGCCCGGCCGCGCGCAGTGCGCCCCGCGGGGTGCCGGCCCGCTCGCCACTGCTGCCGCCTGCCTGGCGGAACAGCGGGGGCGCGGGCTTCGAACCTTTCAGCTTCTGGGGGAAGTGCGACTCCATCTTCGCTAAGGCGCCAACCAGGCAGGGGCATGCGCGGGCCCTGCAAGGCTTTCTCCCGCAACCCAAATCGCGCTGGCAAGTTCTGCTCCTGGCGATTTGGGTCGCGACCCCCTCCGCCTCCGCCATCCGATGGTGGGCTGGTTGGTCGCGTCGCACCCCTCGAGGTGTCGGCGCTGCGCCGGCCCGGCAGCGCTCCGGCTGCGCCCCAGCTGTGCTGGGTAATCTGAGGCAGGCAACGTGGAGGATTGCACCGCCTGCCCACCGCCCAAGAGGGCTGCGAGACCAGGTTCGCCCAGGGTAGCCTGGCTGCGCGGGATGTCCTGGAGCCGGCGCGACGCGCGCGGGGTCGCCGCGCGCGCCCGGCCTCCTGGGCGGGGCCACCTACGGGGGCCGGCCAGGGCGGTTCGATGGGGCAGCGGTTCGGGCGTAGCGCGCGGACGCAGTGCCCTCGCAAAGACGATCACGAACGCGATCAAGTCGCCCATGCGCGCGCCTCAGAGCGAAGACCCCCGGGGCCGGGAGGCGAACCGCCGCCCCCAGCCCCAATTCGTGCCCCGCGCGCGCCCTCTCCGACAACCTCTGCATCAACGCCACGCTTCTGGCCCTCCAGCCGGCATGAAAAACCAGCGCATCGATGGGCGCTCGGCCGCAGGCAGCTCGCTGCGCGTTGCTCCGAAGGCGCGCGGCTAGGCCTGCTCGCCGGCCGGCGCCTGCCTTGCCTTCCGCCTTTTGACTCGCCGCGCGTCGGCTCACCCGGCGCGGCTATCTCGAGCGTGGGCTTCGGGCCCAGCTGAGACGGGGCTGAGTCGGCGGGCGCGCTGGGCCGTTGCGCCCGGGCGTCTTCGACCTGCCAGAGCCCGGCGCCGAGCGATTCTCTGACCCTTTGCGTCGCATCCGGCAGCGCACCAGTTCCGCGATTATGGGCCGCGGCGAGCAGTTGGCGAAGGTCATCCTCGCGGGCTGCCCGCGCTCGCAATCTCGCCTGGATGCCCGCGCCGCTCGGCAAGGATTGGCGGATTAACTAGCGTGCGTTCAGGGGGGTGAGGGGCAATTTGCTGAATCTGCGAGCGCGCGTCAGTGCAATGGCGCATGTGTAATGGAGCAATTAGTAAGTGCTTACTAAATGGTTAGTCAGTCGTTCGCTGGCTGATCAGTAAGTCGCTAGCGGGCTTGCTAACCACCTACTAAGTGGGCTCTACGCGCCCCAGCTAAGCCACTTACTCCACAATAAAGAAGTTCGAGAGACTTGGTTCGCAATGGTCAGTAATGGTTGGTAAGTGGTTGGTAAATGGTGAATCTGTCGCTCGCGAGTGAGAACTATCGACGAACCCCCCCCATCCGTTCCCCGCCCCCCCTGCCCCCCGCGCGCCCGCAACAATCCGGCTGTCGCCGCGCGCGCGCCAGACAGTCTCGGGGGCGAGGAAGCCGCGGGGCGCCCGTCAGAGCGCTTCGGGGCGCCCGCCCCATCGGCGGACGCCTGTGGCTTTCAAGGGGTGGCCGTCCTCCATCGTTGCCGCCCCTGGGCGCGGGCTGCGGGGGCGGCTGGGGCGCCCTTTCGGGCGCTGCTGCAGCCCCTGGCGGCGGCCGCGTGGACGCGAGGGGGGCGAGGGGTCGCGCGTGCTCGGATCGTCCACGCAGCCCTCGCAGCGTGGCGCGCCAGTCGGGAATGCCCGATGGGCGCGCCCGTCACCGCTCTTGCGGGTCGGGGCCTACCGGGGGGCTCCGCGCCGAATGCGCGTC